TCTCATCCCAAAACTGCTCATGCAGAAGCAGGCAGAGCTCAGGCAGATCCCAAACTCCTTCTCTTTGGAGAGAGGGAGAAGACCCCCCAGCTGGCCCCCTACGGCCTGGTCACGTTCCACCACTGGCACCCGTGGAAGAAGACCAGGGGAGGGTATCCAGCCCTGTGTTGATGTCCCCGAGCTGCCCACCCTGCCCGGCACATCGTTCCCTGGGGGCTTCCCCGGACCCGGGGGACGCAGGGATGGAGAGGACGGGACAGGGGGGAAAGGGCCGAGCACAGAGGACCCGGCGGAGGAGCCCACACCGTGATGGAGGTGATGGAGACTCACCCAGTGCTGCAGCTTGTTTCACTGGAAAAGAAAAAAATAGCAATATGTGACCAAAAAGGACAGATTCTCATCCCACAGCTGCTCCCACAAGAAAGGGAAGAGCTTGGGCAGATCCCAAATGCTTCCGATTGGGGAGTGGGAAAAGACCCCCAAACCCTGGGAAGGGCTCCCTACAGCCTGGTCCTGGCACCCATGCAAGAAGACCAGGGGAGCGTGTCCAGCCCTGTGCTGGTGTCCCCGAGCTGCCCACCCTGCCCGGCACATCGTCCCCTGGGGGCTTCCCCGGACCCGGGGGACGCAGGGATGGAGAGGACGGGACAGGGGGGAAAGGGCCGAGCACAGAGGACCCGGCAGAGGAGCCCACACCATGATGGAGGTGATGGAGACTCACCCAACAGTGCATCTCGTTCCTCTGGAAAGAAACAACAAAATTGATGCATGAGTAGAGAGGACAGATTCTCATCCCACGGCAGCTCCCACAGGAAAGGAAGGAGCTTGGGCAGATGCCAAACCCTTCTGTTTGGGGAGTGGGAAAAGACCCCCAAACCCTGGGAAGGGCTCCCTCCAGCCTGGTCATGTCCCACCATAGGTATCCGTGGAAGAAGAACAAAGGATAATGGCCATCCTGGTGCTGGTGTCCCCGAGCTGCCCACCCTGCCCGGCACATCATCCCCTGGGGAGACCCGGGGGACGCAGGGACGGAGAGGACGGGACAGGGGGGAAAGGGCCGAGCACACAGTGCCCGGCAGAGGAGCCCACACTGTGATGGAGATGATGGAGACTCACCCAACATTGCATCCTGTTCCTCTGGAAGGGAAAAACAGAATTGATGAGCGTTCAGAGGGGACAGCTTCTCATCCCAAAACTGCTCATGCAGAAAAAAGGAAGAGTTCGGGCAGATCCCAACCCCTTCTGTTTGGGGAGTGGGAAAAGACCCCCAAACCCTGGGAAGGGCTCCCTACGGCCTGGTCACGTTCCACCACTGGCACCCGTGGAAGAAGACCAGGGGAGGGTATCCAGCCCTGTGTTGATGTCCCCGAGCTGCCCACCCTGCCCGGCACATCGTCCCCTGGGGGCTTCCCCGGACCCGGGGGACGCAGGGATGGAGAGGACGGGACAGGGGGGAAAGGGGCGAGCACACAGCGCCCGGCAGAGG